GCAGCGGCCGCGCCCGCGGGCAGCGTACCCCTGAGGCGCCGCGGGGAGGCTCCGAGCTCTCTCTGCGCTCGCAGCGAGAGGAACAGAGTTCACAAGAGTTACACCTCCGCCCGCCGTTCGGCGCCAGCTGAGAGGTGACAGCGGCAGAGGCTTTAGCCAGCCCGACGTCCTGCTGGCTGTCTTTGCAGCATTCTGCGGGTTTGTATTTAGGCTATCTTTAAATCAGTGCACTTGGATTGATCCCAGCAGAAATCACCATTTACTAAACATCTTGGAGGCGCATTTCATGCAAAGCCCAAGGAACCGAGTAACAAAGCTCATTTAGTACTGAGCAGGCTATTGGGTTTTTTTGTTTGTTTGTTTTTTTTGGTTTTTTTTTTTTTTTTTTAAAGGCCAACACTCAAAGACTCAGTGACTGGTTTAATGGTCATCCCAGAATAATCCACAATGCTTTGTGGTAAAACACAAAGTAATAAAATAAATTTGCAGTTTGACTCTGCAGAATAAGCAGAGTGAGACATGGAGCAGCTGTTAGGAAAACCCCCGTGCACGGGGTGCATTGCGACCATCTCTCTTGAGGCATCACGCAGCAAATGCACGCAGTAGCAGTCACATTTACTCTGGTGTTACTCTCATTTACCCCAACTGTGAAATGGCTTCAGGAAGTATTCCTCTTTAGCTCTTCCTTGTGCATATTAGAAACAATTCTCATGACTACAAAATCAAATAACTGCTCTGTCCACTTGTCTTCATCCGTCAACTAACTTCTCACATCATCACCGCTACCTACAGCGGGAACATGCTTTGGCTAATACCTTGTACAATCTGCCCACATCCTGGCACATTACATTCCTGTAATATTCTTTCAGTACAGAAAAAAAAGCAGGAGAAGGCAGCATACAGCAGGAAAAGAGTGACCCAGCAATGGAAACGTGTGCAGGGTAGACTGAATTTAAGCTAGTTTGCTAAAGCAGAGGAACTAGCACTGCTGATGCTGTCACTGAACATAGAACAGCTGGCAACAGCTGTGCAAAACAGGCAGACCCTCTTCTTGGCAATCAGTGTGGGTTTTAGATGTGTCAACAGCAGCATCCAAAAAATTTAGACCCCAAAATACGGGGAAGTAGGCAAATGAGCCTCCTTTGGAAACAAAGCAAGGGAGACAGTAGTTCATTCAACAGCAGGATTCAAGGCTAGTAGTGCTTGTTCCTGCCCTCCTCACCCAAAGGCAGGGGACACGCATTTAGTCGAAGTAAGAGACTGCCAAAAGGACACGAGAGAGACTTAAATGAATTAGGGAATTTGGGCAGGGCAGTTTGGTTTAACTGTCATTTAAACTTACATATAAAATAAACAGTCATAGTATATGAATGGTGAGGTGGTTACAAAATAGCAGAAAAAAGCCACCCTCTTTTTTTTCTTAACAGAAACCCACTAACATCACATAAATCAGTTATATGTGAATCTTCAAAGGTATTTTGATAGTTCTTTCTCTCTCCACTGCTACATATGAGAAAGTTTAGAGTTTGAGGCACCCAAGGATATCTAAACTAAAACCCAAACCAAAACAATTAGAAGCTAGAAATGGTGAACAACCATCAATAAAAATTTTTTGGTCTTGATCAAATTTGAAATGAAAAAGCACACAGCATTACATATAGCACACTACTGAGAAGTTTACAAAGTGAAGAGGCTATTCTTTCTTCAACTACTGTTAGAGCATTGGCTCTGCTTCCATGAAAGGAACCAGGGTGTTGAGACCTCTCATTTAGAGCCTGGTGGAAGCTATTTGGACATACATGCCACAAGTTTATATTTTAGGGAGGTTTCATGACCTTATTTCTGTGACACAAGTGTTATTTAATCAAAAATAAAAGACCTGAGGGAATTAATGCACTCCTTTATGCTTTAAAAAAAAGAAAGTCTACAACCCACAGACTCTCAATGCTTACCAGTCTCCCAAAGAGATGTTTCTAAGCTTTAATCTTCTGAGACAATGAACACTCTCCATCTCAACTAATGATAAAATTGGGTGCTAACCACATATGAAGTGGCTAGCAAAAACTCATCAACATTTCAAAACTTAAAACTTCTAAGGGAATAACTTACTGAATACTCACCTGTCTCCAAACAGAAACTTCAAGTCAAGAAAATGTTCTTCACCCATCCTATTTACTGTAGTGCCTCACTAACAATTTACACATCACTTTTCTTACATCTACTCCTACCCTATCAACATAATTCCTAGAAAAACACCCTAGCACACCCTCAACCTACTACTACCTTCTTCCAAGAAGTATTCTTCTTTCTGTATTTATAAGAAATTGTACCTAATGTGTCTCACCTGCACCACTGAGTCAGCAGTTAGTATTTTGCTCCTCTCTCCACAGCTGATACCCGATAA